TATATATATATATATATATATATATATATATATATATATATATATATATATATATATATATTAAAAAAGTGTTCCCTTAGGAACAATACTCTTTTCCCATTGATCCAAATTTCTTTTAATTTTTTAATTTCTCTGTTCTGTGCCTAGCTTCTAACTTCTGGAATACTGCGTTATTCCACCACCGCCAACTTCTGACAGTATCAGGATACATGATATTTTCTTCTGCATCTCCTTGCTTACTCACCCTCAATCATACCGACCGAATCCTCCCAACTTTATCTCCCAACGACCTCATATCCCACCGCTTCTTCTCCCATTGACCTCCAATACTTTCTCTCATAAACCTTATCCCCGTTTTAGTCGCCTCCCACTACCAACATCGCTATGTCGAACCCCTAAACTTTTTATGTTTGTGGTTTAATCCCTCCATTCGTCGGTTAGAATACCAGGTACTTACCCACCAACTCTCATCTTCTCGATTGTTACGAAACAACTTTTGAGTTCCTTCCACAGTCCCTCCAACCCACCGCTATTCCCTAAAATCAGATAACCACCGCCTCCACAACTTCTTGTGTTTTTAAGCATAAAAAATTTCTTCAAAGAGGCGATGCTTTGTCCGGGGCTTTCTATCGCCGATCAGAACAAGGATCATAGTTTCAATGATGCGACTTCAACCTGTGGTAAGTTTGAGGTTTTTTAAACAAATAAAAACCGATTTTCTTTCTCTTCCACTCGTTTCTCCTCTCCCAGTTCTCAATCCCTCTGATTTCTTAACCGGGTCCTTCACAATCGGTGTTGAAGATGTCGGAGGAAGCGGAACAGAGTTCCCTTTTGATTGTTTTTACAGTTCTGGGTTAAAGAATCAATTGTTGGTTCACATGCTGAATATGCCAAGATGACGATCACTAAAGACAAAAACCGGTGGAAGATCGATTTCTCCGGCGAAAAACCGATGGCACTGTTGTTGGACACCATCAATTTTTTAGTGCACATGAAAAGCCTCTCAACATAGGTTTGATAACAAAGCAATAGTTGTTCGTGACTTCTTCCCAGTTAGTTACTACATCTCTGACTTGTACACTGTAAATATTTCATTGTTCTTTCAGGATCCTTTCTCCACCGTCGACAATGATCCCAACGCTGGTGGACATACGACTAACGAGATTCAACGATGATCACAGTAACAATGCATTGATCATCTCTTTTCCAGGTAATGAGTATTTAGAATTCAATCATTTTCATTTCGATTTAAGCTTTCTCCCAAAACCTAAATCAAAATCTGATTTTCTTTACCCCACATC